GCGTAACATTTTTGAGATCAATCTGGCAACTCAACCACCATATGATCAAAATAAAAATAGAATCTATAAAAAAATCTACTTTTAAGATTTCCTACAGTCCTTTTAATAATGTTTCTTGCAGATGTGTGCACTTAATTATATCGATATTGACAAGATCCATGCTCCACTTGTTTATGGGGCGTCATCAAAAATGTTTCTAAAGCGTAACCTCTGTCTCCTAGAAGCCAACTATTTTGCATACCATTTCCTCTTTTGTTAATGCTGCCTAGCTACACTCATATCTGGATCATGGCTGGATCCTGGTCTGCAGCTGTCGACAGCTCTCAGACACTTCCAGGATTTTCATTACTCTCCACAATATTTTACATATTGTTGTGCGATCAACACTTATATTTAAATCATTTGCCACTACCCTCTGAAACCCACCAACAGCCAGAAATCTTAAGGTAGCTGCTAACTGCAGGCTTTCGGGAATGGTACCCTTGTGTATGAAAGGACCAACTTCTCTCAAAATATCCATAAATGCTTATTTTAACACGTTCCAGTATCATTAGACTTTTTCTGGTAGAAACCAGGGCAATTAATAAGCCAGCAGGCATATTAATTGCCCTGGCCCGAAGAGCCTTCTGCTTTTTTTTCATATAAAAGACCAGAAGATCTTCTTATAGTAGATCAGAAGGTTTTCTAATAGGAAGCAATGGTCTTCTAACAGGAGAACAGAAGGTCTTCGTATCGGATACCATGAGTTCTTCTTATAGATGAAATGATATTGCTATAGAAGAATGGATGGTAAGTTGGTTTTCTTATTACTCTAGGAATAAGAAAACCGAAAAGAACCAAACGGACCAGGAGAACTTCTATTAAAATATAAGAATGTATTTTTACAGAAGACCAGAAAGGTTTCTTATAGAAAACCAGAAGTTTTTCTTGTACAAGAAAAATGTGTTTCTTATAGAAGACGAGAAGGTATTGTGATATCAGAGCAAAAGGTTTCCTTATAGTAGACCATAACAAATGATATTCCTATAGAAGTCTGAACTTGTATGAACATTCTTTCTGCTTTCAAATATTTTTCAAAACAAATAAATATTTTTGTTAATGGCAAGGAAACTTTTGTTTCTCATAGACGTTCCATGATAAATTTTTTATGTATGTTGACATATCCCAGTAGAAAATACTCTCATGCTTGACAATTTCGATGACGAAACGTTGACGAAATTTATAGAATTGTCATTAATGACTAAACACACGATATGTCGGCAAAATGTCGTTCTTCTCGAAATATGAAAACAAAATAATAGTCTGAATCGGGGTGCTATGAAGTATTGACAGGACAAAAAAGAAAATTCTTTCTGAAAAATTTACAGGAAATTTAGGATAAAGAAGGCGTGCTTAGGATAAGTTTAACTGAATATATAATTATATATCATTATTTAGATGCATTGTTTTACTCTTAGGATGGATCAGGTAGATTGCAATTGGTGAAATACTGTAAGTATAATCGGAAAGATATTTCATATTTCAATGATTTTTAATTTTGTTGTTTCTTTACATATATAAAAATGTTCATGCTATAAAAAATAAATATATGAAAAAAAATATTTTTTTTAATTGAATATGTCGTTAACGAAAAGTAGGGAGTTTAGTCGCCGAAGTTGTCGTCAACGACAGTATCGCTTACCCTGTCGCCCAAATTGTCTTGCGACACTTGTGTGAAAATTTCGTCAACGATCTCACATTGTTGTCTGCAAAGTTTCTTCAATGAATTGCCATTGGCTTGCACTATTCGTTAATGTTGTCTGCGAGACACTTTCTCCTGGGATAATATTAATATATGCATGTGTACTTGTGTTCCATTGTAATTTTGTTTTCTTTTTAATTCATATTGAAATAAGCAATAAAAATTATATAAATTTAGCACATTTGCAATACTATTTTTTCCACGAATTTAAAGCAAACTAAAATGGCCAAGGATGACAGGAAAGGATTTGTATGGGTGTGTGTGTTTGTTTATCTTTCTTAAAAAGTCTTGTTTTTTGCTTTACTTTCTTCTAAGATCTTACAATTTATTTTGAGTTTCATGTGTTGTTCTTTTGTTCTATATTTTTTGTTTTAATGTGAATCTAATTTTGTACTTTTATAAAAAGTTGATTCTTATTCCATTTTATTATATAATTGTTAAGATTTCAATTTTTCAAAACAAATTATTAATTTTTTTTATATATATACTTGTATATGCATATGTGTATGTTTTGTTTTTAATTATTTACTTATTTAGGTTAGTTCTTGTGAAGTTCGTTTCAATTTAGACACATTTAAGTAGTAAGGCGGGGATTACATAAAAATTTTAATTTAATTTGAATTTAAAAAAATATTGTTTTCTTTTTTTTAGCTTAACAAACCTCTTATTTTAGATATATTGTAGTTATTTTTGGATCATGTTGTTTTGTTTATAGTTGTTTTTTCTCATGGTTTTCATTTTTCTTTGGACGAACACTTGGTGAGAGTAAAAAATAAAATGCTGATTCATTTGCTTAATAAATTATTATTATTTTTCCTTAAATTGTTTGGTGTTGGAAAACAAGTTATATGATTTTTTAATTATTTTTTTATACACTTAGGTCAAAGCAAATAAAGAAATTGAATTAAATTATGTTATATATGGAGTTTGGGTATTTTTTTACAAACAAAAGAAAAATGTTTACAACCAAATAAGGTACAATTTAATTATATATGTGAATGAGGCTCGAAAATTAATATAAAAATATATTTTCTTCTAGGGAATTTATAAGAATAAAATTATTCGAGAAATATTTGTTTGATATAAAATTATTTTGGTAGAAAATATTAGAAGCTGATTACAGTTTTGGGTAGCTTTCTTTAAATATATATCATAAATGAAAATCTTGCTCAAGATCCCCAGAACGATTCCAAAGACCACAACCAATGGACTGCTCCCCAAAACATTTAAATTAAAATTACTTTAAATTAAAATTACAATCAAAGCAATTTAAATGTAACCATAATTCATCATTTTTTCTTTTAATATTAACATTCCCTAAATGCTAATATTTACTACAAAGAAACTCGTAAAGGAACATTTATTTACAAAATCCAAAAACTGCACTGGTTATTGACGATATTTTTGATAGAATGAAAGATTATGAAAATATATAATTAACTATATATTTCTATAAAAAAGGCTGCGCATTTTTATATGAAAATGCTCAATAAATTATTCAGAATATATTTTTCTATGGTAAAGAAATATGGTCAATTATTAAGCTTTTATTACTATACAAAAAATTGCATCCCCAGATATTTGGACATTATTCTATGGACAGAAAATTAAGGACATTTATTATACATTCCTTTTAATCAAATTAAGCATCTAAACGTTTTTAATTTTTTCTTTATTTTGAAGATTGAGTTTTTAAATTTTATTTGTAAATATTACATATATGTATTAAGCACTGATAATACAGCCATCTCCCACCTCTATTTTTTACCCTTTTTAAATTTGACAGAGAAATTGATATTTGAACACAAATCTCCAATTTAAATGTATATATCCACAAAGTGTTTTTATATACCATCAGTTAAAAAGAGACCTAAATGTATATGTATTATTGAAAAAAAAACTAAACGATTCTCCCTAAAATAAACGAACAAAAATAAAATAAATAACATTTTGGTATTAACTTCGTTTCTGTTTTTATACAGCATTTGATGTTTTTGTTTTCTTTTTTATTATTATTTTGTATTATTAAACAATTTATATTTAAAATTTAGTGATTTTTGTAATTTTAAGTGAGCAGCACATACTTCGCTTTAAGCGTATGAGACGACATAACTATAAAAATATATAATGTTCAGTTTTCTTTTTTCATTTGTTTTTATATATGTAGTATGTACTTATTTATGACAAACTAAAAGTAAAAAAAATCAACAATATCATCATTGAGAAGGAGTATACAAAGAATATGTGAAAAAAATAAACAAATCTAAATAAAAAAATTCTATTAACATATCTTCTAATTAAACACAATTGGCAATACGAGCGAGGACTTAACGTGTGTGTGTGTGTTTTTTTTTCTTTTTTGAAATTAATAAAAATATATAATTATGTATTTCTATATATGTATGTATGTAAGAATAGGTAATAGTATATAGTTTATGTGATACAAAGTCGTTTTCCTAACTTTTAAATATTTTCATTTAAATACGACGCTTTGGGCGGGCAATTAATACACAATTTGTTTAATGTACTACGAGCCTAATTGATTATTAATATAATTAGTTGTATAATGCTATTTCAATTATTGTTTTTATTATTTTTTTTTTTTTTGCATTTTTCACATCTAATTGCAGTGAAATGTTCTAGGGGGGTATAGGGGTAGGGTGTATGGAGTAGACGACATTTGGAAATGGTAGGAAGATAAAAGGATATTTTGTTTTTTATGGACACAATTAAACGTAATGTTTTGTTGTTTATTTTTATATTTTTGTTTCTCATCGTACATGAAAAGCTATATTTTTCCTTTTTTATTTTTATTTTTATTTTAAACATAAGTCTAACTACAGGACACAACATGTAAAACAAAACATGTCTTCAACCTCAGCTATTTTATATCTTTGATTTCAAGTCTCATCAACATTATGAATGCCTTTAGGTATGTAAAAAATTGGTTGAATATTATTTTCAACAACAAATACATATTTGAAATAAATTTAACATTTGGTTTGTTTTGGTCTTGAAGAAGGAGGATTTTTTAAGTAATAAAAAGAAGTAACTAAATGATTTGGTAAAGAAGAATGTTTTTTTTTTTGTGGTATCGAAATGTTCAAAATGTGCGACATAGTGACATTTATATTGTGTGTGTAAGTTTTTTTGTGGCTATTGTGGTTTTCCAAGTGTATCTGCTGTTGCTTTTCTTCGTTTACATAAATTTCTTTATGTTTTTCAATCTCAATAAAAATGCTCTTTCCATAGACACTATTTACGTTGTAGTTTCATCTGCAATAGGAGTACTTGTTGTTGTTGCATCAGTATTATCGGTTATTTTATTATCCTTAATATCAGCAGTATTATTATCGGCCTCTATTGTTGATTTGTGCTTAGTTAATGTATCATCATCTTCATTGTTGATAATTATATTTTTGTCTTCTGCATCTGAATCTTTTTCTTGATGCAGTTCCTCTTTATTCGTTAGATTTGTTGTATTGCCATCATCTTCTAGCTGTTGTTTAGTGGTAGGTTGTTCAACAACATCCACGTTATTCCTATAGATTTAAAAAATAATAAATTTTTTTATATTGTTATCATATCATTTAAATATTGCAAATTAAACAAAAAAAAATCAGCAAATATTTTTTAAACCAAAAACTCATATTCTTATGCATAAAAAACAAGATAAGTTTGTATGTTTTTTTTTAATTGGAAAATAATGCATATATATTTGAAAGCCAAAAATATTTAAGAGAGATATTTTTATGTGAATATTGAATTACACAAATATTTATGAAAATATGTTTGCACAAGCATAGATTTTTTAAACATATTTTCAAAGAAGTCAATAGGCATACAGTTTACAAAATACAAAAAACAAAATACTAAAACAAATTTTAAGTTACATTCCCCACTAATAAATAGTTGAACAAAGTGTAGATTTTTTAGAAAATTTTCAAAGCGTTGGTTTTAAAACTTAAAGTAGTCGACTTTTTTAGAAAAAATAAAAGAATAAATTTTAAGAAAAAAATCAAAGTCGTACATTTTTAGAAAAAAATGTAAAGGCGTAGATTTTTTTAGAATTAAAAAAATTTACAAAAACATATGTACGCATTTGTAAAAAAAATCTAATAAAAAATTGACTTTCAAATATACATATGTAAGTTAATTTGAAATTATATATCTTACAGTTGTTTAGTTGCCGCTTCTTGTTCGTCTTTTTCCATTGAATTATCTTCTTTTTCATTTTCATCCGGACTCGTCGTTGTGGGTCCATTTGTAATGGCAGACGACGTCGTCGTCACCGTTTCAACATCAGCTTTTTCACACGACTCTTGTTCATTGTTGTCGCTATTATTTAAAGCGGATGCCCCCAATGGCTTTGTCCACATACCTTCATCATCTTCATAGTCATCGATAAACGTTGTTTGTCTCGACTGGAATGATGGAAGTTCCCCCGACCACGACAATTTCTCTACATTGGCATTATTGTCATATTCCTCAGACGTTGTTGTATTGGATAAATTAACCATTGTGTTGTCGTCTGACGATGACCTTGAGTTTGTAACATCATTATTGCCGGCCGTATTGTTGTCATTAATCATTGATGAAATTGTGCCTGCCAGCGTCTCGCCCATATCATTGGTAAAGGAACTGAAGTGCGCATCAAAATCGGCAAAATTATCCGCGGTACTTGAAGTACTTTCCGGCGCCCATGTCATTGCACTGCTGGCCGATTTGAAGACATCAAAATCATCATTGGTATCCCATGGATTGCTGGTCACCGTAAATGACTTTAGTTTTGACAAGGGATTGGCGTCGAAGGATAGCACATCACCAGCTGCGTTATTCTCATCGTCGTCATCCTCGTCATCATCATTGCTGCGACCGAACTGAAACAAATTTAGAGCATTTTTGACTTGATGATGGTTGCCATTATCTTCGTTGCCGTTCTCATTATTATCGTCACTATCATTGCCGTCGCCATCATCGTCTTCGTCGTCGTCATCATCATCATCAGAGTCATTTTGCGTATTGTAATCAAGTGTAAAAAGAAAGTCCTGCTTTTACAGCACATTTTGTTTTTTTAGAAACGCAAAAAATTTTGAGATTTTGTTGTTGTTTTTTGTGAATGGTCAAAGAGATAGATAAAGTTTTTTGATATGCTCTTAGAAATTCAAAAGTTTCAACACAAAAAAGAAAGAAACAAACGTGTAACCAAAACATATGGAAATTGGAAAACATTTGAAGGAACAATCCCTCAGAGTAGTAGTGGTAGTAGTAGGCCAAAAACAGTCAAACAAAGTTAAGGATTTTTTTGCCAAAATAACGAAACAACAACAAAGATAGGAAGCATTAGTAGTGGTCATTAATTTGGAAACTAGTCCCAAATAATAATGTCATTTTTTTAACGTATTAATTGAGTTTGGCAATATATAAACAGAGAACGCCAAATGACACTAGATTACAACACACAATATTTCTAGACTACTTACTGTGTCCATGGCATCCGTGAGAGCGCATTGAGTGTTGCTAAAAAAAAACAAATATCAAAATAGAAATGTATTAACAAAATAATCGTTATTATTTTGTGTGAAAGAAAACATTGACTTACAAAGCACCCGAAAAATCATTATCGGTCAGGAAGTCCAGAGATATATCATAATCACATGCTTCACAATTGGCCAATAGCTTACTTTGCGTTTTTAAGGCCTGAGTTAATTCACCATCTGTGCTATTTACAATAGACTGCCATAGTTCACGTTCAGTATCATCTTTAAGATTATTTTCGATTAAGGCACCGATATGTTCCGATTCTGATATACAGGTTGTAATATGTTTGAAAATTTTAATTAAATGTCCCATATAACCCAGGCGACGACCTTTTTCTGCAGACCTAAAAAAGAGGAGAGGAAATACAAAAACAAGAACATTTATTTTTTTCTAAGGTAGTATTGAAAAGAAATTAAAATATAGTTAAATGGTCCATAATCGTCTATTAATTTCTAGAAATAAAACATTAGAAAAACTTATTGTTTATTTCTTTGAAAAATATTTTTTGTTTGAAATCCAAGCTCAGTCATTTGAAAGAGATTTTGTAATCCTCTCTTAACAAGTTTGTGCAAATATGTGTTTTTATGCAGATTACATGTTAGGATTTAGAACAAATATTTAGAAGATCTAGTATTTAAAAAAAAAACTTAATTTTGTCCTAAATTCACAGAAATGTTTTTTAAATATCTACCCATAAAAGGGTACATTTTGAAAAAAAAAAAACATTAATTCAATACTATTTTTGTTTTATATACACAGCGTGAACTGAATATATTAATAATCGATCTGTGCTTTTATTTGTGACATAAAAAATTAGCATGGATTAAAAGATTTCGAGAAATTACGCGGCTTTTGTTCCAACAAAAAGTAAAAACATATTTATTTAACACACTTACTCAATTTCTTTGTTAATTTTCCAGCATTCTATAAGCCTTGAAACCACTTGGCAATTCACAATTAACTGTAAATTAAATTCCAAAATATTTTATATAGCCGTTGCGAACAAACCCGTCTTTACTTACATGAGTTCTTATATGCTCCTTACTTTCATCCGATAATTCTGGTTTGCTTGACTTTGATAAATCCTGAAAAATATCTATACCGCTATTGAGGAATTTGAAATCGGTATTTTGTGGGCCATTTGCCGGTTGTGTTGTATTATTATTGGCATTATTTGTTGAGGAAGTATAAAAAATTGTATGAAGACATTTTTCCACTTCGCTGTGCAAAAAGTTATTCCAGGGATATTCTTTGAATAATGTTAGCAATATATCGAAGAAATCTGTTTCGCAAATACTAAAAGAGAACAAAACAAAAATCACAAACCATTAATGATTGTCAAATTATTGGAATTTATTGTATATGATACTTACGCTTTGCAAATCTCTTCGTTATTAGTCTGCAGTAATACTGTAAATAGACGGCAAATTTGTAAGCGTGTCATACCAAAGGGTGGTGATAATAAACCGGCTGATATGACAATATCGGCTTTCTAAAAATAATAAATGGAACAAGAGTTAAAAACAAAATGCTGGCAATATTTTATATGATGAATATCTTACTTTTGGCGGGTTCCTAAGTAATTCATTGAAGTGTTTAAGTTGAGGTTCAATAACACGGATCACAGTCGATAATAACTCATTGTGGATTTCCTTTTCACGATCTTGTAAAAATTGCAAACGGTCTGACATACGTTCATCTCTATAAAATAGAAATAGAATACAAATGTTTATATTACATTAAAATGAAATTGTGAATTCTTTCAATACTTACATCAGCATTACGGGTCTAATTATTTTAAGTACAACCGTTATGCCAGATACAATAGCACTTTCAAGAGCATTTGGTTGCAGGATCACATTAAACAAGGCAAATAAAGTGGTTGCACTTTCGATATTTTTCAATATAGGATTCGAACCTTCAAAAATTGGTTCAAAACTATCATTTTCTTGATCACTTTGACGCATGGTGCGTCCCTGATGTATAAGATCACAGAGGAATTCAGCAACATTTGCATGCTTCTCACTTTGTTCGGGATCACCAATGATGTCGATAAGTTTTTCAACCAGTCTTTCTTCATTTAACCACTGAAATGGAGAGATTGAAAAGCCACACGTTAAATTTCACATATTATAAATTTAAATGAGATGAATCTTAAAAATATTCTTAGTGGATCAACTCACCTCGTACAAGCTCCTCTTTAATTGAGCACCCTCAACATTACGCATCATTTCCATAATTAAATCGGGTATGACGGGCGTACTGAAATGCTTGCATATCAAATCCAAAAAATTACTTTGCGTTTTTAAAAACTCCAAAAGTTTTAGGCACAATTGTTGATACAAAAACCAATCTTGATCAGACTTTTTGGTAAAGAGCATGCTAAATGTCTTGCTAAAAAATGATGCTAGCAAGGGATTTAACGGTGGTTCATTTTCCAGATATGAATATAGCATTTTTAATGTCTCTTCTTCGGAGATCAGTTTCTCATCTAAGGACGGTAGGCCGCTATGGAATTGAAAAATAAAAATATTTGTAACGAAAATTTATAGGTTTTAAAATTAAAATACTTACAGCAATAAAATTTCACATGCCACATTGGCATGACGAAAACGTTGAGCCAATGGTAAATCTTCTGGAGGTTCTGTTGTTATTAATTCGATCATACGTTTAATGACATCGGGGCGAGTAAAGCTAAAAAGAGATAATATAAATTTAAAAATAAAATTATATGGAAAAAATATAAGTTTGCATTTTTAATGAAAATTTTAAGTCTGAATACAAATCACGAAAAAATCTTTTAGAAATCTTAAACCAAATCAGAGGTTTTATTTAAATGTTTGCAGAAGTAGTGGACCTGCATAGATTGGAAAAATATGTATATGATAGTTGCATTTTTTCTGGATTAATGCCTTTGTCAGACGAAATTAGAGAAAGGTGTAGGATGGCCCGCCGGCTTGACTTGCAAACCGTTTTAGTGCCACGGTGAGTTTTGAATTTTTAAGCCATGTTGCTTATTAGGTTTCGGGAAAATTTTGAAAAATTGAGAGTTGCTTTGAAGGGAAATATTGAAGTATTCAGTAGTCCATTCGTCCCAAAGCGAATCTTGAATTTTTGAAATAGCATCATTTATAGGCTTGAAGAAACCCTAAAACTTCAGCTGAGATTGAAGATAGTTTTTTATTTGTGCCAAGTGAGTTTGTGTTTACGAGGGAGAATGCTGCTCCAGATGTATGATCCGAGACTGAACCGTCGGTGAAAACATGTTTTACCCTTGAAGTCGTAGTTTGTTTATTTTCTCGTTAATCAGGAGGTTGATGGTTTCCCAGCTGGCATCATATATTTTAGATACAGCCCCTTGGAAGAAGTCCGGTTTGTAATGATGTTGGTTTCTGCGACGTTATTTATAATGTCACCATATTTGTCGATGTCTTGATTATAGCTGGTATTGTAAGGGAATAAAATCCAGGCATTGTTAAGATCTGGATGTCTGTATGCTTTAGCTTTAATAAGTTCTTTGGCGGTACTAGTTGGAACCTGTAGCTGGGTGGTAATTCTGCTGCCAATTGATAGATTATGGGTATTGGTGTGGATTTAATTACTCCGAGAGCCTTTCGCAGTAAACCATTTACTCATGTTTTGATTTCCAATGTTTTTGTAAGATTGGATATGGCTGCTCCGCCATATTCTACTTTTGCTCGTGGGAACTCCTTGTAGAAGGGTAGAGAAGGAGATACTTCGAATTTACAGCCGCTTTTAATACGGAGAAAACTGCAGGCTTTATCGACATTTTCCACGTCATTTTCTAAGCGTATTTTAGCTGATCCACTGGATGCGATGTAAATACCGAAATACTTCATGCTGGTTGTTTGGTTGTGAGTGATTCCGTTAATGGTAATGTCTAATTATCTTGGGCTTCTGCAAAAATGCAAAAATGCATAGTACTTTTTCCATATTGAAACTTAAACTCAGATTTGCGCAGTATGAACTGAAATGGTTTAGTTCCATTGCTAATAAGTTTCTTGTGGTGAGTTATGTTTTGGCATAGCATAAAATAAAAAAATCGTCTGCAAATTGGTACACTATAGCACAATGCGAAGATGTTTTGTGCAATAGAGCAGTATATAAATTGAAAAGAATTGGGCTGAGTCCACTGCCTTGTGGCAATCCATTTTTAACAATTATTGAGTTTTTTCCTAGTTCCAGTATTCTATATTTCATTCCATCCACTATCCATTTTATTATATGAGTGTTTAAACCATTCTCAAACAGAATTCTGTCCAACTTGGAAATATCGTTTGTTGTCGAACCCTTTTTCAACTTCGACACATGCACCTACCACATGGTTTCATCCGGGTCTGAAAGCATAAGACCGAGGTGGCAAGATCAGAGATGGCCTGTAAGAAACAGTGACGTAAATGACATACATTTCCGACGTAGAATACATACGTCATACATACGGTTTTTGACAAAATACCTATTTCCATTAATCAATTTGGAAATTACGCATGCTTTACTCAAATTAATAAAAAAAAATTCAAAATGTAGAAATTTTTATCAGTTCTAGTGAAATAATAAATAAATGACGTTTAATACATTTATTACATTTTATACAGGTATATGACGTATTCGACGTTTACAACTTTTCGACAGTCGAAACCCTAAAAATTCGTCACAGGGGCCATCCTTGGGCAAGATTTTGTTCGTTACAATAAATTGTAGTATTGTATCTTTGATAGCACTCTCAATTACAAGAGTGCAATAGGTCTATAATTTTGTACCAATGAGTCTTTTCCCCTTTTGGGGATGGGCGTGATTTTGATCCGTCTCCATTCTTCGGGGAAGACACCCGAGTTCACACTTCCAATAGTAATTGAAAGAATTTTCTTTCCTCATTGCTTTCTAAACTCGCTATCATACCGTAAGTTATCTCGTCAGGACCTGCAGCGGAAGATGGATTTCTACTGTTGAGAAACTGTTGTAAAATATCAGGATCGAGAGATAGGCATTCACGATAGTTGCACATTAGCTACATGAAAACATAGTGCTAAAAGCAATTAATCCAAAGTTGAGAACAGAGGCACGTAGATAATATATAAACGTCGTACAAAGTCGTCGAAACCCAGCAGACGTACTCGATATCAGTCTTTGTCATTATGTCCGGAACGAAGAGTTTTTCTACTTTACCCAATAACGTCACATCGGTCCTACTCGTGATACACAATTGATATATAATATCCATATGCATTTTGTTTTGGAGTGGTAGATTTTCTTTGTGGGTATGTTTTTTAGTATTATCGCTTTTGTGTTATCGATATTAAGAGATAAGGCGAAAGCATTTAATATCCTCCTTTGTAAAAGCCAAAAAAAAAACAATTTTATTTGGGTAGATGTTTTCACACATCTCTTAGTTGAAATCGTGGTATTCAAATCCAATAATTCTGTGTTATCTTTCTGAATGATTTTTACCCATCTCTTAGTTGAATCAAGGCATTCAAACAAAAATAATTCAGTGTTATCTTTCTCTATGATTAATACGAAATCTATTTGTCATTGTTCTAAGAGTACGGCCATTCATTCAAATATCCCCTCCACTCTACGTGAAAAAAGTAAATAAACAAACAAATTGTTACAAAACTTACTAGTTGACAATGCTTTTCTTTTGAGTTTTACATTCCTGTATAATATCATCTTCATCCAAAAATTCCTCCACTGTAGAATTCTGCAATAATAGGGGGTTTAATTAGCGGAGATTATTCATCAAAAATTACAACAACATCAATTATTACTACTTACCTCCCTCTCCAGCAGAGCCTCAATATTTTGTGAGGGTGAATCGTTTTTATCCCAAAACATGTTGATGGTGATGATGTTCGACCGTGATTATTTTTGTTTTGTTTTTTCGTTTACGTCTTCGACGTCGTAGTTGTGGCAGCCGCACTAAATATTTGATTTGATAATAATACAACAAAAACAAAAAAGAGAAATAAAAGAACAAAATGTTATTGTTGCGTGACGACTGAATGTAAAATCTGATGACGGTGGGTGATGATTTTTTTTAAGGAAAACTAGTGTGTAATGCTGCTTTACATTCACTACAGCAGAAGAAGAAGAACATGGCAGCACTGTGTTGTATTGCAAATTATGAATGGAGTGACACCACACAGGCATAACGACGAAGAAACCCAACAATGCATCACGGAAGTGGCCACAACATTTCATTACTATATCTCCCATGGACTTTTTCTGTATTGAGGGGAGTTTTTTAACTCTTGTGGTACACCAACACACAACATAGCAAAACACAACCAGCAGCAGAAATCACTCTGCTCTGCTGTACACGCACACAACTTTTATTGATTTCTTGTACCTTTTGTGATATTTTCCGATTAGAATGTGTGTTAGAAATTATTTTCCAGAAATCTGCTATTACATTTTCATTTAGTTTTTAACTTTTCATTTTGTATGGTTGAAATAGTTTTGAAAATACACAATTTTTCTGTTGCGTCTTATTGGTTAACGATTTTTTTCTTTCTACTACGTTTTGGTCTTGGCAAACTTCATCAATACTCTGCGGGGCGAATGAAAGTAATGCCCGCTCTCTGTGCACTGTACACACTCTCTCAACACAAAAATGACATTTCAATGTTGTTCTCACCATCCAAACAACAACAACACTCTCTGTTGTGTACGCGAGAATCGCAAACGTCAAACTGTGGCCATAAAAGTCCAACTGTCATACTTGTTGCATTTTTTTACATTACGACCACAATTTTTTTTTAATTTAATGAAATTTATGCATATTTTTTTCTTTTTCTGAAAACGTGGCCAGTTCAAATTTTGTTGCTTCCATTTTTCTTTAGACCAAAAACAAATAAACACAGTTATCGTTATTTACACATTGCACCATAGAAGGCGTTTCATCAGACCACACCACACACATTTTTTTATTTTTTCTGTTGCCATTCTTCGTTTTATTTCTGCTGCTTTCTTCCTCATTACACATCACAAACGTTGCATGACGTTGTTATTTGACGTAGCATTACTCACCTTTTACGTGTAATTGATTAATAAAGAAAAAGAAATATTAAATTGTTAGAAAGAAAGCAAAAATATTTTGCAAATTGTTAGTCCAAACTCGAAATATGTCGATGTCAGAGAATGAAGCTGACAAGAGGTTCTTGCCTGCGGCGGATTCAATAGACCGCCAATGTTATGTGTGTTATTTGACAGTCCAAGGGCAAAGGCGTGTTTCACAAAAGGGGGATTCACATGTTGAGGTTAATGAAAACTACAATTCTTTCAGTTCTTTTTAAAACGCAGAAAAAACATAGTTGGTTCGAGTATAAAGATTATAACCGTTTTAACCCTTCTGATTATTCAGGTATTATTAATGAATCTGACTTATACTTATTATACCATACAAACGATACGGATATGCAGTTGTCTACACTAAATAATGTAATAAACTTGCTTCATTCTTATGTTCCTACAGTTAGAATCAAATCACACTCAAACACTTTATGGATGAATTCTCCTGCAATAAAACGGGACAGAAGAGAAAGAGATCGATCTTATAAATCTTATTTGAGTACTCCTACTGATGAAAATTGGAAAATATATACCCGATTTAGAAATAAAGCTAAGTCCATAATAAGAAAAGCACGATTTGAATATGGTACAAGTTTTTTTTTCTAATGTGAGTGGTGCTGAAATATGGAAAAAAGTTCGGCAACTGGGTTGTACTGTGGAACAAAGAACAGAATCTGAGGAAATTGATGTAGAGTCCATTGCAAGTGAGTTTTTGGGTAACATGGGTCCTGTTGAAGATGTATTTTTAGACTTTGATGGTTTTGTCGATCGTACAGATTCCTTTTCGTTCCATTCAATAACTGAATATGAACTTATTCATGCTCTGAATTCTATTAGGACAAATGCTGTGGGGTATGATTTAGTTCCAATCAAATTTATCAAGATTATTTACCCTATTATTTCGCAATTTTTACTGCATTTAATTAATACAATTTTAACAGTTTCTAGTTTTCCAAACGCCTGGAAACTAGGAAAAGTAGTACCAATCCCCAAAGGTGATCGGAATGCTGTCGAAAGTTATAGACCAATTTCAATACTTCCATCAATGTCAAAGATTCTAGAGAATGTAATGAAAGAGCAAATTCTAGAACATTGCCAGCGATATTCAGTTTTTAATCCTTGCCAATTTGCTTTTCGTAGACATCACAACACTACATCAGCCTTAATTTCAATAACTGATTCCATTAGGCAACAGTTGGATAATAGTTTCTTTGGATGTCACCAAGGCTTTTGATCGTATTAGCCATGGTATTTTATTACTGAAGCTGCGCGACCGCCTTAAATTCTCAAAAACTGCTTGTAAACTTATTTATTCATATCTCTTTGGGCGTAGACAGTATGTTACTGTAGATGGGGCTACATCTTCAATTGGCAATGTGACATCTGGTGTTCCACAGGGATCAGTTCTAGGTCCGATTCTCTTCCTGATATATATAAATGATATTATCTCCGCCATTGTAAGTCCAATTTGCCAGCCATATGTCTATGCTGACGATATTTTCTTATTATTTAATTCATTTGCTTCTGAAGAATCTATCAATTCGCACCTTTTATACACATCTGTTATGTCAGCCGGTTAACGCAATGCGCAGCGTAAACATCGCCCGCATTGTGGTCGATGCATTGATAGCCTGACGGCTACCGGTTATCGATTACCCCTTTTTTTTGCAAGGTGACATTTTCGATTACGAACAGCCTAATCGTTTACAAAGGGAATGCAAAAGAACGCCATTTGCATTCTGTCATTTGTTTCAAACTCATCAAGGCGGCAATTGGAGAAAAAAAATAAAATAAAAGTGAATCGTGCTAATTGAGAATAAAAAGTGAGTGCTCCGAATTTACTACCATCAGAATTTTGACGGCGCCCGGGATTTTTTTGTATAGAGTGAGTTGGATCAAAATCCTTTCATGCAGATAAGGCATTGTTATAGTTGTGCATTTTTTTGTTTCTTATTGGCAACAGGTATTTCTTTGGGCACATGGGAGCGTAGGCTTCGGCCTCAACCAGCACTTATTTAAATTGCTACCACGCTGCCATTACCAATTGCTATTGACCAACGACCACAGTTTGCATTTTTGTCCATTGTTACCATTCCAATACCGGGTTTCTTTCACCGACACCACCACAACTCATTGAGAGTGACCACCACTCCAACCCATATACAGTGACCACCACCAGAACCAATTGGCAGTAATCCCAACTACAACCCATTGTAATTTATCACCACCACAAACCATCAATAGTGATCACCACCATTGTGTGAAACCATTCGGTACTACAACAACCACAAGCTGTTGCATCAACCATTTAAAACCATCTCAATAAAGTCCAGCCTTCCAGTCGCTGAAGTTTTTTTGTAAGACCTGGGTGCGCTTCCCCCATCACCGCAGTAAGCATTTAGTGTAAAGAAAATATATCATCATTAGTTATTCGTATTTTTCTGCCACAGGCAGGAAAATACGGATACTATTATTTCTATATATTCATCGACGGACAGCCGATCTGAAAAACATACATTGTACTTACGTACATTTAGGTATATATAGTGCAAATATAACGGCATATTACCGTTATTTTAAGCAGCCCATGTGCTTTCGTTTCTTTTCTTTTTTGTGTTCCAAAAATTTTTGATACAGTACAGTTACAAACAACGATAGTTGTCGAAGATGATTAATAATTAAAGTTTGTGAAATAGCTTTAATCGTTTAAATTATTTAAAAAAAAAAAAAAGAAAAAAATTGAATTCATTAAAATTTATGAAAAATCTAGAATAATAATCTAATTTTGAGATTATTTGAAATGAAAAATGAATAATTGAAAACCAAATAATTATAATAATTAATCATTAAAAAAAAAAAAATTATTAAATTAGAATTTTAGTCGATTTTACAATAAACTTTTTTTTGATTGTCGATCACATTAATCATTTAGAAATTCGATTATCAAGAAATTGATAAATTAATGAAATCGATTGATAAAAAAAATATTAATTAATTATTTGAATTATAATCTATCATTAATTTAAAGAAATTAAAAAATTAAATTAATTATTTTAAATCAAAAAAATAATTATCTGAGGGTCTAATAATTAACAAAATTAATTATACTATAATAAGTAAATTGTTAATATTATTATATAATTTAAATAATTAATGAAATTAAATTTTGATAAAATTAAACTCAAATTTTTAACTCAAATAATTATTAAAATTAATTATTTCAAACCCAAATAATTATTAAACTTAATTATTTCACAATAAAATAAATTAATTATTTCAAAATTTAAATAATTATTAAAATTAATTATTTCATAATTAATAAAATTAATTATTTTAAACTTGCTGGACGAGTAATTATTGGAAGACTTCAAAAGATTGATTATTTGAATAGCAATCTAACGTTGAAATAATTAAATTAATATTTTTTTTGAGAATTAAAAAAAAAACGATTTCCATCATTGAATATTTAAAAACTAATGAAATAATTCAAATTATCATTCATATTATTATATTATATTTTCTATATATTATTGTATGTAAATGTTGATCCCTATTAAATACTAGTAGCTTTTCAGTCATACCCGGTCTAGAAGGTGACCGAATATCTTACCTCTTGAGCTCAATAGGGTCGAGATTTATTTTACAAATTCTCATATGTTTGCATATTTCTTTTTATTGAATTTATGTTGGGATAAACATAGAACAATATAGGTATTTTGTTACTATACATATTCCTACCTTTGCTTTAATATAATGTTCACTCATATAATACAAACTTAATGTCATAATGTACTATATATGAATCCCGATACAAATAAAAGGGAATAATGAATTTTTGTAACGGTGAAGTGAAAATGTGTTAGTCATTTATTTAATGGTGAAATAAGGTAGGTTCAGCCAAATAAAAATGTTTTAGGGGGTTTCCTGCAAAAGAAGAAACCCGCAGGGGATTTTGAAGAAATCCGTGGGAGGGCTCAAGGTACCCATACACCATCTGGGGTACCCACAACAACAATATCAAACATCTGTATCGCTATCGTGACTTTTTAATGTTATTTTTCTTTAATATACTGTTGTGCATGGTCGAGTGAGGACGATGAGCTGAGCCGAGGCAAAACAATAAAAATTGATGACATACCAACAACAGCTGAGTATGACACAAAGCCATAATACACTCTCGCCGATTTCATGTTACAACAAAATGGCGCCCAACGTAAAGCAAATTTTGATTTTTAGTGTCATCGGTTTGATTTTTGAGTCCTGAGGTATTATTAAATTATAATACTCAGTTGCGTCAGAAACAAATCAATGCATGCAATTGTTATAAGATCTCCATCTTCTTATAAACTATTTTGTTCGTCTTGAACAGTTGTGTATATAACAAGGTTCAATCTTGCGACAAAATATAGTCAAGTTTCTTGTTTTTCTATTTTTAAACAATGCTAGTACATAGTCATTAGTTGCAGATTTTTATGTCAAGCTACTAATTTGCGGTATTAGATATGTTTATTTGGTATATTGATACAAACAGAATTTTATTGGTAAAATTTTTAAGATGATCTTTACAGATGTTTGATGGTTACAAAGTTGTTGTTTCTTTTATTTGGCTGGAACCTAACCTATATTCATATTTCACCTTATCGTTACATATATATATACTATACTTTTTCTTGAACATATTCTTTATGATTTCTTTTTGCGGAATTTCAGTGAACATTTTGGAAGATTTTATATCAGATCTATATCGTTTTGTTTTTGGATATTTTTCTTATGGTATTTTATGTTAATTATTGTTGAGGGTTAAAAGATTTCTAAAACTTCGAAATTTTACAGATTCTAATTTAGATTACGGCAAAGACAATTATTCTACATTTACATTCTAAATTACATTTGGCATTCAACTTTATTTTCAGGTTTTTTATCTTGGTTTATTTTTCTGTTATTTTTTTTTAAGTATATTTCTGGTATTGTTTTTTTTTTAATTTTAATTATTATGCCACTTCCACCTAAAACGCAAGGCAGGACAACTAGGTCCAACAGTAGGGCAACCGGAGAGATGGAATTAAATACGGAGTCATCTACCAGT